CCGGACCATCAGTAAGATGGTCACTATGAAGCCATAGAACCAACCAAACCTAATAGGTCCAGTATAGGAGACTATAATGCAGGAAATTTCCCACCTAACCTCGGTCAGGTGGAGAGATGGTGGTTACAGGGGAATTAGGAAGGTGAAGATATTGCAGATGTAAGACCCCCGAAGGAAATGAGTAGATACTGAGGTATCACTCTGATCCGGACAAAAGCCCCGACGCCCTGTATGGATCACATCTTTTACTTACTTTACTTACCTTCCTTTGACCTGCGATACTTGCACGCTTCAAACAAAACAGTCAATGAAGTGTGCTCCCGGTGCTCCCGGCGCCTATTTATACTATAGTTGCACCGGTAGTGACGTCATGGCTGTCGCCAGCCAACGTGTTGTTGGTGTTTTTTCAATGTATGCTTCAGACATGGGCCACGACGAGGAGTTCCCAATGGCGACCCCTAGAGGACGCAGTGTCTCGTTCCCAACTGCACATTAACGTGCTTGCAATCACGACTTTAGAAGTGGGAATAATGAAATTTACGCGTGAATGCAGCAATCCACTTTGTAGACGCATGTGTGCTTACTGGAGCTCAGCAGTGGCTATAAATAAACACGTTTCTACAACAAAATCACAAATACACTATAATATCTGTGCCAACACCTTCAACAATTCAACAGTTTACTTTACAGTAGTTCAAAAAATGCAATTTTAACACAAGAACCCATGTTTTTGGTTTTTAATACTCACATTTGAAAACATCCTCGTTCTTCTTGATGTTCGATTATGACGTATCCTCCTCCTCTTCTTCTTCTTCTTAAGGATTTGCGGCTGTTGGCGGCAGACTAGACGCATCCTCTCTTCTTCTTGGTTAACGTATCCTCTCCCATGGGATTGTGGGATAGAAAAGTATCCCACGATCAGCACTTCGGAGTCTGGACGGGACGCAGTAGGCCATCCGGGGATCTCTCGCCTACTCTTATATGAATACTGGGGTTTTGGACATACTACTCTTCTCACGTACCCATTTCACCTACTATATAGTAGGTACGTAGGCATATTTGAATGATACTTAAGTATACGTACACCCGAATCTTGCGAGAAATAGTGCTCCATCCAGGTAATTCTCGCCTACTCTTTTGTGGATATTGAGATTTCATGCATACTTTTCCTTCGCCTACTGCTTTTTGCCTACTAAATAGTATGGAAGTATGCGGTTTCAAACGCAGCCATTAACTCTTTTTGTTTTCCTGTTTCACTGAATCAATCTGTACAGTATAAACCGCTATAGAAATAAAGCTGACTTGACCTGCTCACAATAAAACCTTGTGATGTATTCAGTGAATTAAGGTAGTTTTTTTAAATCTGTGATCCATTTTATTAATAAAAATGACATTTCAGATTTCATTACATGTCAGAGTATATTATTGGAAGGATTGTTTGATTGCCTGAAGTTTCTCAGTCTTGATGTTGGTGTTTGTTGAGTGTCCAGCAGATGGCGCCAAACCTCCACTCGAACTAATGACCTTTGATCTGCCGTGGAATGAATCCGCTTTGATCGGAGATGCTTTCATTCATACAGAGGCTTTATGAGTCTGATCACGTGACCAATATTACATCAGTGCAGCATCAGATCTCGGAGATTATTACTGACAGAATACTGACAGTCACTTCAAAGATTTTACATACCCAAAGTTAACAAGACAGTTGAGAAAGGTAGTCAGTGGACATGTCAGAACTCAGTATTACAGTGACCCTATAAACAAGCAAAACATGAGGTCTCGTATCTTAAAAGTTTCAAAACCCTGCTCTCTTCTGTCACATCCTTGTCTTTATTTTTCATATTGCCTGTGCATAATTTTGCTGGCTTCTGCGGCAGATTACACTATAAATAAATGCAAATTTGCTTACCTTATGTCTTCTGCATTTACTTCCATATGACAGGGCGTGGTCCAAGTGTTGCCAAGTCCACAGTTTTCCTGCGGAATTGGGCTACTTTTTCATCGTTGCCGCGGGTTGTTTTCCAACTCCATGGGTTAAAGCGACCCCACTAACGCGATATTTTCCCCCCTCCCCCTAGTTTTGGACTAGTTTTGAGAAGCAATTGGGCAGATTTGGTTATGAAAACCTGGAAACCCTGTTAGTGTAAACGTAGCCACAGTCACCATCTCAGTCACCTCTGCACTATACTTCCCATCAACCCTCCTGCTATACTCACCTGCACTCCCTCTGCAATCATCCACAACTGATACCAATCCAGCTCCTTATCAGCCACTATACTTAGGCCCTGTCTACAAGAACGTGGGTATTTTCAAAACCGCAGCTTTTTCTACGCGGTTTGGCCGTTCTTCCACACGCAAACACAGCACCAGGTCACTGAAACTGAACATTTTTTGAAAACTCCTGCCAGGGTGAAGATTTTCAAAAACTCCGGTTGCAGTGTTATTGTGTAGACAGCGAAA